ATTAGTATATTTCGTGAGGAAACTCCTCGTGCGTTTTTCCTTAGCAAGACAGCGTTTTCCGCCAGACGTGACAACGCTAACCGCAAAAAACTCAGTAAGGAGGATGATTTATCCGACTTATAAATCCTAATGAGGGGAATAAAGATGACTGCGGGGCAGCAAAAAAACGAAGAATTCAGACAAGAAAAAAAGGAAGAAAAAAAAATTAAAAATAAAAAGCCTCCAAGACTGCGGGGTCATTAAAGTCCAATTAACATCGGCTGGGCTCCGAAGAGGCAGGTTTTTAATAGGCAGTTTAACGCCTTAACGAGTCGGGAGCAACCGCTTCATTACGCCCCCGGTGAGAGGGAGGGGGAATAAAGGGGGAGGGGGATGAATTCGAATGAAACCCTCATGAATCCAAGAGGTGAGAAGTGATGAGGAGGGAGAACTCGTTCCCATTCACCCCGGAACTTCTGCATATTTCAGGAGCTCTTTCTACGAATTCTTCAGCCCTCCGCGGTCCGAGAAGCAACCTCGATAACGGCTCAAATCTGAGGCAATGTCGAGAAATACAGGGTGTTTAAGGGTTAAACAAGGTGGTAAGATAGTGCTGGATCCGCACTTTTTTGCAGGGAGAACAAGACCAAAAAGTTCGAAAGTTTCAATTAGAGCTCAAACATTGTACACTCTAATTGAAATTTTTGGCCTTGTTACCTTGCAAAATAGTGTGAACCCAGCAGTAATTTACCACCTTGTTAAGTACAGATCGGACCACACGTTTTTTTAGGGTTTTTTCTCGCTTGAGTATTGAAGCACCCTAGATTTTGCTTATCTATATGAATCACTAGACAAGCTACGAATTCAAGCAATATGGTTCATAATAATTCATTAAAATTTCACGCAGAACACGATTTGTACAACGAAAATCACTGAAAGTAACTTAGCTTAACCAAGATATCTACGATTTTGAGAGCATAAATTCAAACTCCTGGCTCATAAAATTTTTCTAGCCTTCTCTAATGGTCCATTCGCATCTAATTAATATAGAGTGATAAAGAATTCTGGTGTTAAGGCGGTAATTGTGTTTCGTAGAGACACATCCACAAACTTTATTGATATAATACCGTCGTTATATGGTCAAGACAATCATAACCTCATTTGGACGTATCTATGCTAAAAGGAACTATGTTACTCGCAAACCCTATGCACATAGTTCCATTTAGCATAAATACGTCCATTTAAGGCCATGGGTGAGTGTTTGAAGAAGAATTTCTGGGAGTTCAAAGGGAGAATCCAGATTTTCTGCAAGAATAAATCTAGTCCCCCTAAAATTTTCCGGTGAGTTCTCGGTTTTTTTTTTTTTTTAAAAAAACTCCGCTGAAAAATAATCGCACATTATGAGTAGTAGTCTTGTTTCATGAGTTTTGGCCAATTACCGTCGCAAAAAATGAGAGAAAAGGACGATTCACCCAAAAATCTGGAAATCAGAAGTTCGACTGGAGTCTTATCTTGACTCGTAGATCACGTGACTGAAGACTAGCGGTTTAATTGTGGGACACCCTGTACACAACATTGCAAGGCACACGCTGAAGTGTTAGTATCCTGGAATCCTCCTCAATTACTCCGAGTGGGTAAATCAGAAAAATAGATTCAATGAACACCCTCTTCGCCTACCATCATCTGCGTTACAAAAACATGAAAAAATGCTCAGGGCACTGGCAGCTGGGAGAGGTAAGAGAGAAAAAAAAGGAATAGGCAGGATGAAAGCTCTTACAAGGCCTCCAGCGAGAAAAAAATTAAAAAAAAGCATGGTTAAAAGTGAAAAGAAGTTAATATTCACTTTATTGAATCAGCTAAAACGGGACAAGGCGCGGATTAAACAGTTAGTGAAGTAGTAAAATGGACAAAAGGTCAGTCTCGCTCGGTAGCAGAACGGGTTATCTGACGACAATGTTGCCAAACTAGAAGAAAAGCGAACCTAATTATTGCTGAAAATGCCGGGGATACGTTCGTTTATCGTTGAAGTGGCAACGGTGCGTTTAAGCAATGAGCGAAGGGACGTGGTGGGTCTTGTGAGGATTAACTGAGTGGACAAAAAGAAACAAAGCTTAAGCCGTGCTCGTTGTTGCCTGATAACTTAAAAATTCCTTCACACCTTAAACGAGGAAAAAACTTTGGTTTGAATGAAACGCTTAAGTTCTTAGTCTCGTTAACTGAGGCAAAAGGTATCCTGCAGAATTGAAGGCGCGTCATAGTGAAAATCGTGTTGTAATGAAGTCACCAGTGCGCAGTGGTGATTTTTTTTCGTCTGTATTTTCCTTTTAAGTGTTCTCCAGCTGTTCTCCTAAGGAAGACTATTTGGACTAAATTTTGCAATTCGTACCACAATTTCTGGCTCAGTTTAAAAACACGGAAAAAACAAGACTAGTGTTGAGCACTACTGGCCGTTTAGTGGGGAGTAGTTGAGGGCTGGCGTCTAAGCGCTGTACAGCTCAACACCGGAAGGCAGTACAGGTGGGAACTGAACATGAGTAGTGCTAATCAGATGCCGCGAGACGTAGTTGCGCTTAACAGGTGTAAATTCACCCATGAGACGTCGGAGCCACGACAGCCTGGTGGTAACGCGCTGGTCTTCCACCGGCGCAACCCGAGTTCGTGTCCAGGCGGAGGCGTTTCATATTTTACGCTCGCTCCAAAGTCACTTTAGGGCTTGACACTACTTCTTCCTTAGTGACCCAGCCTCGAGCTGTTTAGTGCCCAGCACTCCTCTGACTTGCTGGCTCCATTTGACCTAACCCTCGTTAGTGCCCGGCACTAACATGTAGGTCCCAACCCTAAGCTCGTTTTTTCCGTGAACAACGTGTGTATTATTAGTTTTCATGCGCACATAAACGTTTTCACCGATGAGGAAGGAATTGTAGTTCCTAATTTGCAAAATGAAGTTCATTCGAGGAACGACCATGAATACGGTCATTAGTTCGACTATCACCTGTGTCACACTATCAAAGCTAGCCATCAAAATATCAAGGTCAGGAGTTGTGATTGGCTTATTCGATTACTCGGACCAATCACAGCACGCACGTGCCCTGGAAATTTTTATGGCGTATTTTGACAGTGTGACACACGCTTGTGTGGACAGCGCTGATGTTCTTTCAAATTCCAAGTTTCAGGATGCTATTCCGAAACTTTTTCAGAAAGCTCCCTGACTTTCCGCTGATTTCCTTAACCTAAGAAAATTCCCCGATGTGTCCGGTTTTCTCAGAGACAAGAGACCCTCCAGTCCTATCTCGGCTATGGTGGAAGCTTTTACTTTCAGGACTTCAACATTAAACTCTTGACTTACCTACATGGTTGATGTATAACAACGTGTTGGCAGTTTCGTTTTGCAACAGGCCAAAATTTGAGAAACTTGTTTGGCTTACGACGTCACCTGTAGCTCATCATCCACTATGTAGGTAGGTCAACAGCCGAAAAAAGAGTGATGAATGTTGCTCCCTTATGATCGTCCATCTCCATATAGAAGTGTTAAATCCCCAAAAGTAAAAGCTTCCACCTGTCCCCAAAAGCCCAAGGGTCTTGTCTCTGGGTTTTCTTGACCTATTGACACTCTGCTGTAGTGTCTTATTGCAAATTGAAGCCCAATTTTGAACTTGGCAACGAAGGAAAGGACAAATGCTAATACTGCAAATATTCTCGGACGGCGAGGGTTAACGAAGATTATCGCTCCCAACGCACGGGATCACCACACTCTTTGTTCTGCGAGTAAAAAGCTCGGCCCTTTTTTCGCGCGATAAGGCCAAGACCGACCCTCCCCGTCTCATGATCACGTGTATTTTTGCCACCCTCGGGGAGTGGATAACTTGCTCAACTCCCTCGGGGCCGAAGTTTTGCAGATTTTGTCGTGAATTTACGGCGTGCCGTGCGTGCCTCACTCTCCATCGTAGGCCACCATCGAGCAGATAAAAAATATATATAGAATTGAAAAACTTGGGAAAGGTACGTATGTCCCTGCCTCTTGTCCCTGGAGAGCATGCCAACAATTGAATGAGGCTTTTTACAGTATTTTTTTGCCTGCCCTTAGGGTAAACAAGGAAAAGTTTTCTCGAAAAAGAGATATATAAATGTGCCTTCGATGCCTTTAGTTGACGAAATTTGAAAAATTTGAAATTCTCGCTCGAATTGTGACAAAATCGTAAAAATAATGTTCATTGGTGGCTTGAAGATTGACTAACTGCACAATCGCGATCTTGCAGGCAAATACTACTTTAAGATTCGACGCGTACGGGATTGCATACTTTCCAGGCTTTATTAAAAAAACCCGTGTGGTATGAAGAAAAAAATTCCACACCCTTGTGGAATCTCCGCACTATACAGTGCTTTCGAACCACCCTTAAGAAATCAGAGCTATTTCCGGACTTTCTAGAAATTCCGGACTTGTAAACACCCTGTTTTTGGATGACACTGGCCATCAGCAGGATATAGAAAACAACAAATCCGTTTTTGGCGGAAATAAAAATGAAAGATTTACGTTATTTATACAAACGTGGATTCTTCGTCTCAAATCCGCCCGGATCGAATTTTCCTGACTACTGGGGAAGGTAAGTACGCAAAATGTACACTCGTTCGAAAGCTTATTCTATTTAAAAGTAGTCCATGCAAATCGAGTGTCGATATCTTACTTCGGCATAGAGTTATGAAGCGCTGTATTTTACTGTTTTTATTTCATTTTTTCTTTAACTTTGTCCCCCTCCCCTTCTGCAAGATTTTTTTTGGAGGCTAACATTTAAGACACTCCATCGTCCTCTTTTATTTACGAAAAATCAAGAAAATTCAAATGGGGGCGGGGCGGATGAAATGGATTGGTTTTGTCGTTTTTTGCATCAGCCTCTTAACCCTTGCGGACTCTGCCTCTTCCAATCAACAAACTTAAGTCCCTTCTCGCTCAATGTCATCCAGTTATTCATCAAAAAGTGACGTCATTACTGAGAAAGTGAAGAAGAATAATAAGAGGGACTTACGCAGATTCCTCGACGACCGTGGCTAGGATGAACTCTGCAGACTTGTCGTTATGGATCACGTGACAATCGTCAGAGCCGGGAGACCGCTCTTCTTCTTCCTCCTCCTCCTCCTGAAACAATCCACGCCAAATCATCAGTATCGTGATAGGGAAAAACAGCGTATAAGCCATTAAGTGTTGACATATTTACTTGGATAAACTACGAATTTTGATGTGAACAAGTCATTATACAAGAAAAAACACTGAAAAATACTGGTGAACCAAGGAAAAACGCCGTATGATGATTGGACATGGCCAAATATCCTTGGAGAAATCATGTATTTTTGGGAACATTTATAAATATTCTTCTTCCGATTATTCAGAGAATTTCGTTCATATTTTAATTTGAAGGGTCTGAAAATTTCAATGGTAAATATTTATAACTTCCTTCAAAAATAAATATTTTCTGAGAGGAAATTTTGCAACATTCAAATGCACGTACAGCGTTTTTCCTTAACATGGTAGCATTAGAGCTCAAAGTGTTTTAATCTAATTGAAATTTTTGAAATTTCTGACCTTTCTTTCTCCGCAAAAAAAGAGTAGACCCAACACCATTTTACCACCTTCTTACATGTCATTGTCTACTGATTTTTTAGAGAATTTTGTTCGCAACGGAATTTAGCATGCCTGATTATTTTTGAAAAAATATTAATAGCTTTCCTTCAAAATGAATGTTTTATCGAGGAAAATTTGGCAATGTTCGAAAGTTTATACGGCATTTCATCCAATGAATGCTAAGAGACATTCGGAGGAGTATCAATTGAAACAACCCACGTTCGATCATCAGTGCCGTGCTAAGGAAAACGTCGTATAAGCCTCCAAGCGTTGCCAAATTTAATTTCATAAAATACGAATTTCTAAGGGGAAGATTACATTTTTTCCTTCAAATTTTTTACAGGATTTTTTTCGCAATTAAATCTAGAATACCTTATACTCTAAAGATAACACATTCATAACTTTCTTAAAAATTACATATATTTTCTGGAGGATTTTGGCAACGCCCAAAATTTCATAGGGTGTTTCGCCCGATGAATGGTAAACGACACTCGGAAAAGTATCAATTGAAACGTCACCTGTCGCCCCCTCTGGCCCGGGGGCGGGCACGGGGGCCGTTAAAAAAATTGAAAGGAGCCGACCGAAAATAAATGCGGTTCCGCGAGGCGGCAGGTCGCATCAATTGAAATTACGCAATGCTCCCGGCTTCGCCAACATTCGCCGATCAATCATTTAGAGAGACAACTCGACAGCGTCGACGTTTGACGGGGGAAAAGGCGCCAATTCCGAACAGAGGAGTTCGATTTTGTGGAGTACCTGTATTCTGCGTTGTTCGGGAAGAACGTCGTGTGAGCTTTCAGACGTTGCCATTTCTCCATCAATGAAAACTGGATTGATTGGGATAATCTTGTATCACAATCATCTGTTTTGTATACTTTTCTTCAAATTTTTCAGACGATTTTGGTCACGATGGAGAATTTTCAGGTGTCAGAATTTTTGTAAATTTCATATTTAAAATGAAACTCTCAAGAGATAAGCACGAGGATACCCTTGGTTTCTAAGTTGAACAATATATGATAACAATTATTATATTATGAGGAAATATTACAAAAAACCTAATCTGCTAAAAATACTTGTGTCTCAATGGGAAATGCAGTCAGATGACGTCACATGTCGGCGTATTTTCTTATTCTTAAACCTATTTTCTTACAATTTTCCATTTCCGAGAAGAGTTATGAATAATAGGGCAAACTAAGCTCACTAAGTACTCCCAGATGAAGCATTAAAATTTTTGTGTGCAAATTCTTTATTCTTAATTCTAAAATATCTAAAAATTTCGAAGAAAAGTATCCATAACTTTCCTTAAAGTTTCACGGAGAACCTTAGATAATTACTGAAATTTACTCCCGACCAAGATATTAACGTTGGCATTCGTCACGAAATATTTTAATTTCCCGCTCTCAAGAAAATATGAGTCTTCTTGTAACAGTTAGCACAAGAATCGTTCCAACTCCAGTTAATCATGTTTCTGTGCTTAGATATGATAAATAATTTGACCGTAGTTTGCAATAAAGAAATACCATTTCCGGCTCACCCATGCAGGCACCTAACTGCAAAGGGAAACTATTGGCCACTGTATATGGACCACATTTTGCAAGGGGCAACTACTATTTTTGGCCTATTTTACCAACAACGTATGTGCCAATAGGTGCTTCTGTGGGTGAGCCAAAATTAGTAGTTCATAATTGCAAAATGTAGTCCACATAATTTTTCTAAAATCAGCCCAAAATATTGGTTACTTTTTGCAAAATGATGTCCAATTAGAAACTTTTTGACGATTTATCTTTTCTAGTTTTCCAGAAAATTCTTGGTCCTAAAATAAGCAGATATTTTGTCATAACTAGAAACCAGGCAAAGGAACCGCTAATTTGAGAGCCCCCTTTTCATTCACGAAACTCATCCTTTTATAGCGCGTTCTTTATATATGATGTGTTAAATTGATGATGATAGGTATCGAGAGGGGACGTTCTTTAGAGAACTTCAGCCTTTTCAAACCATCTCCGTAGTTCATCTATTGATGAAAAAGTTTATTCCTGGTGTTTTATGAATTAAATTAACATATTATAGTAGTGAGTAATCAGTGCCTTTCGTTGGGTTTGGTTCGGATAGGCAACTGGACTAACTACCTGGAGTAGCAGAGAGTATCACTGGAATTTGAAGGCGCTTCAAACTGACGACGTCGTGCTTTTGAAGTCCTTTTTCAATGAAATATTTACTATTTCGATGCGAATAATTGCCATTTGATGAGTTAGCACGCATGCCACTTGCAACTGATCACCGATTGATGATTGTTGATCGATGATTGATACTCATGTAGAAGTTCCCTACCACATAACTCGGTTAGCGGGATGTCGGACTTTTCGTCATAACTCATTTTTTTCTGCGAAAAGCTACTCAATGTGTTTTATTGAAAACTGCCGCAGGTCCCCTTTCAGATTCAATGCAAATAGTTCCGTTTAGCAGAAACACGTCCATTTACAGCCTATTGCTTAAATTTGGCTGTGAAGGATTTGGCACGAAGATGGAGACCGATAAAAGGTGGAGCATGATCTGGGCCATTTTTACGTTTTCACTCGACGGAATGCCATAGCTGGCGCGAGACTATCAAGCAGGAGCAAATCGGATTTGGCATCGAAAGGGTTGACGTCACGGGCTCACGGGCACCGGAGGTTAAAGATATTGGGGCAGAATGCGGAAGGAAACCCGAATAAGTTTATCTGATCTTGCGGCGTAATTCGAAAAGGAGATTTATCTTGCCCTTTGACAAATGCCGCGGCTTAGGAACAAATCATATGCCTCGTCTCTTCTGATTCACATCTCTCCCGTTCGTCTCCTTAAGGTTGCCACTCCGGAGGAAAGGAACCAAAACCGACCACAACCAAAAGATCCGTACTCAAAGTCGTTTCTTAGACAGATCCTCTCCTCAAGAGGCTACACAATCTAACCATACCTTTCATCGCCAATAAATCAGGTAAGAGGTTAGGTTTTTGGGTAAAATCAATGGCTTACAGAGACACGAGACCCTCCACTGGCCTTCTGGCGACGGGTGGAAGCTGTCTCTTAGGGGCAATTATACCTAAGGGAGCAGCAGTCATCACCCTAATTTCGGTTGTTGACCTACCTACATGGTAGATGATGAGCTTTGGGTCACGTCATGAGCCAAACAAGTTTCCCAAACCTCGGCCATTTTCGGCTTGTTTGCGAAACGAAACTGCCAACACGTTGTTAAACATCAACTATGTAGGTAAGTCAACAGTAGAATGTTGAAGTCCCGAAAGTAAAAGCTTCCACCATGGCCAAGATACTAGTGGACGGTCTCTTGTCTCTGACGGCTCATCTTTCGACACTGAAAAGAAACTCCGGCCGTGGAAGCCGAACTAACGGGCTATATAGACATACCGTCCACGTTCCGGGCTCAGAGGCCGAAAGTTACGGGCGTAGCACCGAGAGCAATCGAAGCTACGGCTCCAGCACCCGAAAATTTCGGTCTCTGAGCCCAGCACGGACGGTTTGCCTAAATAGCCCGTAACTTTATTTTCAGTGAATATATGCACAAGGCAGTGCTCACACAATCAGTGCCTTGGCTGGGGTACGATTACATTGGGTATCAATTGGATTGCATTTTGCAAAAAGGAACCACTAGCATTGCAATGTTGCTAAGATTGTGCAACTTCTTTTGTCTTGGAGGAAAAATCCGATTATCCATTAATAGTTTCTATTTTACTGGCTAAAAACTGTAAATTTAAGACCAAAATTACCATGTAAATTTCATAGTTTTTCACGATTTCCGCAATTTTAGTGCAAAAGATAAAGTTGCACAATCTTAGCATCATTGCAATGCTAGTGGTTTCTTTTTGCAAAATGCAATCCAATTGGGATACCACCATGACGGAGAATTCGTATGCAAATTTTTTTATTGCTACATCTGAAAGTGCTTAAAGAGCTGATTTTACAGTATTTTTTAAATTTATTTCTGATATGGGAAATGGTATTTAAATAGATTTAAAACTGAGAAATTTTTGCCTAGTGACGTCATCTGGCGGCATTTCCCATTTAAACACATATTTTAGCAGATTAGATCATTTTGTCATGTCTTCTCCGATAATTATTCAATTCATGAACCAAGGGTATCCTCGTGTTCAGTTCACTTAGTAGTTTCCACTTTGACACGAAATTCATCAAATTTCAGACACCTGCAAATTCTCTATTGATTGGAAATGTGCAAATCATCCATTTTTCCGTGGCCCTCCAAACAAGTTAGATTGGACATCAATGTTGGGTGCGAGCGGTTTGTCGACGAAAGATATTGGAGTGGGTCACAATGGAAAACAGATTTCAGGCGCAGCCCTCATTCGGGTCCAGATAAATTGGACGCCGCGGCGCTGTGCGGCTCGCGAGTGCGGTGACAAAATCCAAGATTCATACGGAGGGGGCGCCGATGCCGGAAGGGAAGTGCGTTTGGGCTTCGGCAAGGGCGGCCAAGATTTATTCCGCGGCTCATTACGGTGGTTCCACCG